GGTACTCTACCCAGGGGGACAGCTTGAGGCTCTGTCTCAAAATAAAAAGAACTGGACAAGGACTCCTCCCCTTCCTGGACACCACAGAATGCGTCCTCAGCTTTTCTCATCAAGGGCTGTAAAGCCAATGCCGCAACATCCTCTCTCCCTACACCCTTCTTGTGCTCACAGCCCCTGTTGTGGGTCCATGTGACACTTCCAGACAGCCGATCCACAACCCATTTGTCACAGACATGGGTGCCTAATTCTCTAGCCTCCTAACTGCTGCTGCTAAGGTCCAAGTCCCTGGCTAGATGTGCCTGACAAGAGCCAGCTCTGGTCTCGGGGGACTGGTTTGCAGAAGTCTCCACAGAGCCGGCTCCAGCTTTATGTTTTCAAATGAATACCCAGCCAAGATTTCAATTAAATTACCAGAAACACTTCAGTTTCCTCACAGACTCCACAATAGGGATGGAGAAGGAAGTCAGCTGATGGAGATTACAATGCCGTTCAGGGGAGTATTTCTTGGGTCACAAGTGGTAAACCATGTTCTCTGAACAAAACCAGGAAGTTTTCGGTTTTATTGTATGCACTAACAGAAGGGAGGGACTTGAGACTCTGATAAAAATATCTCCCCGTTCCCAGTGATCAACGTGACATGAATAGGGCCCTTCCCTGGATTGCAAGAACTCCAGAGCCAGCTTCTGAGCGGGGAGCCCTGGGCAGTCGGGGTTTTAGGGACTTTCTGGGCTGCGGGGAGGCTGTGTGGCTTGGCAGTCCTGGCAGGACCAGGCACTGCTGGGCCTAGGAGAGCAGCTGCAGTCCCAATATATCAGCATACAGGTGAAATTATCTACAAATGGGCTCAGCACTCATAGCTCAGTGGTTAGGGCCCTGGCCACATACACCAAGGCAGGTGAGTTGGAACCTAGCCTGGACCTGCGGAACAACAACAATGACAACTGCAACAAAAAATAGCCAGGCATTGGGGTGGGTGACTGTAGTCCCAGCTACTTGGGAGGCTGAGGCAAGAGAAGCGCTTGAGCCCAAGAGCTGGAGGTTGCTGTGAGCTGTGACACCACGACACTCTACCAAGAACAACTTACTCTGTCTCAAAAAAAAAAAAAAAAAAAATTATTTAGAAATGTATTTCTGCATGTCATGGGCACAGAAATCAATCTATCTCTAAAGAATGGAAGAGCTATGGCAGCGTGAGCTACCACCCTTCCGCCACCAAGAGCCCCTGGGATTCAGGTTTGGGAAGAAAAATAAAATATCCCAAATATGTCATTTGAGAAGGCAGCTCCTGGCCACAACCAGCCTCAGTTTTTCTCAAGACCCAGGATGTGGGTTCAGTTCCCTTACTCGGGAAGTGGGGAGAATAGTCAGTACCAGGACACCAGGCTCAGGCCTGGGGATCTGCAACCCCAAATCACCCCACATCCACACAGAAAGCATCGCAGCCCCAAGCCAAAGCCACCAGTAGCTCTCTACCAACTTGGGGCAGAGCCTCACCAACAGAGGAACTGTGCGCTGTCTCTGCAAGTGAGGCAAAAGGCCAGGAGATCCTGCTGGAGCAAGCGGCAGGCTCACATCTTTCCCACTAGCCTGGCCCAGAGGCCAGCTGTCACCCTATTACTGGAACCTCTCAGCTGTGGGGGAGTCCATTTGCTATAAACCATACTGCAGGAAGAAACTTCCTGAACAAATCAATGACCCCAATGGCCACCCAGAGTATGACCACTGTCACTTCTCATTTCTGGTCATGAAGCCTTTCCTGGCACCACGGCCCTGCTCAGTCACTGATGAGACCCCGACTGCAGAGGACAGGTCCCAGAGAACCCAGCAGTCACTGTCCATCAGCAAAGACTCCAAAAATCTTGCAACAGTGATTCCCAAACACTGGTACGTAAAAGCTTTACCAAAGTCAACATCTGATGCTTGTGAGGTCTGCCGGTGCCGTGTCGTGTGTATTCCCATGCTTAGGAAGGGATGTGGGATCTTCCATGGAAAAGTGTGACTAAAGGTCACAATTCAAGAGGCCAAAGCTCCAAGGGCTCACACAAAGGGGAACAGGCTTCCATTTTGAAAGTCTGTAATAGTGTGGCATAAAAACAAGAGATTCAGGCTTGGCGCCTATAGCTCAACCGGCTAAGGCGCCAGCCACGTACACCTAAGGTGGCGGGTTCAAATCCAGCCCGGACCCGCCAAACAACAATGACGGCTGCAACCAAAAAATAGCCGGGCATTGTGGCGGGCGCCTGTGGTCCCAGCTACTTGGGAGGCGGAGGCAGGAGACTCGCTTGAGCCCAGGAGTTGGAGGTTGCTGTGAGCTGTAATGCCACAGCACTCTACCCAGGGGGACAGCTTGAGGCTCTGTCTCAAAAAAAACAGAGATTCATCTAAAAGCACCAGTGGCCAGGCACAGTGGCTCACACCTTTAATCCTAGCACTCTGGGAGGCTGAGATAGGTAGATTGCTTGAGCTTAGGAGTTTGACACCAGCATGACCCAGAGCAAGACCCTGTCTCTACTAAAAATAGAAAACCTAGCCAGGCATTGTGGCACATCCCTTTAGTGCAGTTACTCAGGAGGCTGAGGCAAGAGGATTTCTTGAGTCTAAGACATAAGGTTGGTGTGAGCTATGATGCCACAGCACTCTACCCAGGGCAAAGAGTGAGACTCTGCCTAAAAAATTAAAAAATAAAAATAAAAGCACTAGTGAATTCCTAGTAACCTACTATTACTTTAATAAGAAAAGAAACTTCTATGAGACTCTGATCACAGAAGGCAGAGAATGCTGCAGGCCCCTTAACAGCTGCCCCTCCCTCCCCCAAGGCTGGGCTCTACAGCTCCACTCACATGGTGAGAAAAGGGTACTCCCTTCCAGCACAGGGGAAGAAAAGGCCCCAGGACTTGGGGTGTGAGCTGCCTGGGGAGCTACATGGTCTTCAAAGGCTTCTCTCTAAGACCAGGCCCCACCATCTCTGTAGACTCATGAGACCCAGAGTCATCCTCTGCTCTGAATCCCACTCCCTCTCAGCTCTCAGGGCAGCCTGGGCAACTTGGGCACAGCTGATGGTCCCAGCTATTCCCCATGCACCCTGAGGATTCCGCTTGCTCTGACCAACCTGGTGAAGCTGCTGCTGCAGGGCTCGGTTCTCTGTCACGATAGCAATCTGGGCCTCCAGGTCCCGGTGAACTGACCTGTACCCAAAATTAGGAGAGCCAATCAGCGTGAGACAGGGCAGGCTGCTCCCTGCCAGGTACAGCCAGAGGCCTGCAGGGAAAAGGAAACGTGCAGACAGGAAATGAGCACAGCATTTGTCCAAGTCCTCTCCATGCAGCTTCAACCTAAGAGAAAAGCAGCTGACCACAGGGCTCCCAGGACACGAGGTGGCCACGGCCGACGGGGCCGACAGGCTAAATTAGGACACACTCTTCTAACTCCTACCCCAGGTCTCCCAGATGCCTCAGCTCAACCACTGCTCTTTGCTTCTACCACTCTACACTGTGGCCTCACTTCCCAAGCAGGACACTAAATGGGGTTCCCAAAGGGAACCTGATGATGTGTCTCCAGAGTCTGCTCACATTCACCCCTGCACCCAATTGCTCACCAGAGCGTCTCCCCAGAGTTAAGGTCTTCAAATTCCCCTCTCTAAGCTGCCACATCCCGGCCTGCTGATCTTGCCAGCTAAGCTCCCAGCCCACAGTGGCCAGAGGCTCAGCCACGTCTTCCTATGAGCACACACAGGAAGGCAAAAGAGGCCAGCAGGTCAGCGCACACCTGCTGCTCAGAGGAGCTGCCACTGTGCTCCATGTGGCAGGTAAGGAAAAGCAATCCTCTCTACCTCATCCAGCACACGTGGGGCTGTTATGCAGGTGACAACATGCAAGTCTGCCTGAGGCTGGCTGACTGACTATAGGTTCTGGATAGGATATCTATGCCCTTCCACCTAGGGACACAACCTCCTGACCCAGGCTCCCTCTTTCCAGCTGTCATATACCAGAAAACTACAAAGCCCAAAGGAGATCACAAAAGTGAGGCCTCTGTTATAACTGGCCACAGAGCTCAGGGCCTCCCACCAGGCTGGACAGGGCAGTCCAGGAGATGCCCAAACAACCAAGGAACATTGCTTCCCCTTCTTTGTTAGGAAATGAGCCTGTTAATACTACACTCAGAGAAAAAATAGGGCATGGGATGAGCACCCTGGTGGGAACGAGAACCACACCACGGGGACGTTTCTGTAACAAAGGTTGTAGGCACTCTCCTGAAATGCACCCTGAGATGACCAAAGACAGGGACTGGGTCTGTATTCCCATCCTGTCCCCTCCCCAGAGTTCCAGGGCCTACTTTCATGGCCCCCCTCCCACCGGAGCTATTTCTCCTAAAAAGGCTATCCCCAAACCTAACGTCCAAAGGACACCTGCTCCCCCCAAATTCCTCATTCTGGGATCCCAGGCTTGGCCTCCAGACCCTCCCCCAAACCGCTCCCTCACCATACCAAGAACACTTATCCCAGAAAATCCAACCCAATGTCAACATGGCTGTGGACCCGGGCCACAGCCTCATCAGGTTTTCCCACCACAACTCACCTCCACCAACATGACCCTTTCAAAGGACCCATGGAGGCGCACACTCATTACATACACATCGCACTCCTAAAGTAGAAGACCATTTCCTAATTCTCACGCAGAACAAGAACATTTCCAAGAACCTCTTGGGTAAGAGGTGACGAGGCCCTGCCGTCTGTTCCTGTAATGGGCTCGTCTCCTCCCCTCCAGAGGGCCACATCAAAGCCACTTGCTTGCTTGTGTGCACCACTCCGTCACCGGCACCGCCCCACCGGTATGCAGCCATTCACAGGCCCCCAGGAGTGGACAGCTGCCTCTCTCCCTGGCTGCTCTTCTCCCGATAGCCCATCCTGCCCAGGAACTATGTCCTCCACACTCACCGCACTGCAGACCCACAGTCCTCCCTTTCATGCCCAACTTCCCCACAGGGTATAGGGCCACAAGACAGGTGCAGGGTAAGAATCTTGCCATCCTCAGACAAAAAGCAACAGCTTCCTCTCACCTGACAATGCTGCTTCCAACTTTTTTGATGATAAGATCAGCCTCATAAAAACTGGGTCTGCTCAGTGCCACCTGTCCAGCCAGCTCTCCTGAGCCTGTCCTGACAGTGATGACAAGGGAGGCCACACATTCACATGGGCCATGCCGTCAGGCTGATCTGCACAGAGCACTGTGACTCTGTGTCTACCCCACGGCACCTGGACTACAGAGCCTGGTCCTACATGCACTTTGTATTTGCAAACCCACCTACCACTGCCTCAGTCTCTCACAAGGTGACCTGGGAGACTGCGGCAAAGGAAGACAGCCACCTCTGGCCCACTGCTGATGGCTTCATTACATGTCCCTACTTCTCCATCTTTTTGTCATTACTGTCCCCAAGGCAGACTATCTATTTGTACATTACACATCCATACTTATATAATTTTAAAAGAGACCTTTTCAGCACCTCTCCCCAACAACTGTCATGCCTGCTGGGAAGACATGACATATGCCTAGCTCTTGTCTTTGCTTTCTTCCTTGTCACCTCTACCTCCCTCTAATTTTTCCTTCCTCTCAGGCTTAGGTTGGCCTTCAGGTAGGCACATGGGATTATAGCTGCAATTCACGAAGATTTTAACCTGCCTGAGATTGCCACACCAACTTCCCCTATGGTCTTATTTGCACTGCAGTGTTTCCCCATCAAAAAATAAATACCATGAATGGGCCAGGCTCAGAGATTTCATGCCTGTAATCCCAGCACTTTGAGAGGCCAAGGCAGGAGCACTGCTTAAGGCCAGGAGTTTAAGAGTAGCCTTAGCAACATAGTGAGACACTGTCTCCACAAAAAAAATTTAAAAATTAGCCAGATGTGGCAGGTACCTATAGTCCCAGCTACTTGGGAGGCTGAGGCAGGAGGATCACTTGAGCCCAGGAGTTTGAGGTTGCTGTAAACTAGGCTGACACCACAGCATTCTAGCATGGGCAACAGAATAAGACTCTGTCTCCAAAAATTAATTCATTAATTTAATTAAGTTCTGTTTCACCTCTGTGGTGTGGCTCTGGGCCTGACCTGCACCACTGGCCAGGATGTCAGGCTGTGTATACATGGGGCTAAGACTGTCAGCACTAGGACTAGTGGGTATAATTCCCAGTCCAAGGCCATAAACTGGTTATAAGCCCAACTCATCCCAAGACCTGACCTTTGGACCCAACATCTCCCCCACACCAGGAACCACCAATTTAGGGATGACTTGCACAGGAATGATGGCCAGGAAAGGGAGTAAGCAGCTTTATGGTAGAGAACGTGCTTCTGGGAGTGGACTGACTGCAGGCAGCCCAGGCGGGTGGCTCACAGGACACAGCGAGGTACCACCATGAAAGGGGCTCACTCCCAACTCCTTGGAAGTGCTCTAAACTTTCCCTTTGTTCCTAAATAAAATTTGTTACACTGAGACTTATGCAGGTTACTCTGCTCTCTGTTCACACGCCTATGCTGCTCCTGGTTTATTTTGTTTCCAATCATTTTGCTCTCAATCACCACCAGGCCTCAGTTGATCTTTCTAGCTCAGTCCAATAAGCAAACCAAGTCAACTGGGTTTGGGGAAGCAGGACTCCGGACCTCAAACAGTAATCACTCTTGTGATTCTCCCCATGTGCATGGTATTTGGAAATAAACATGTCTCTTATTAAAAAAAAGAAGGGCTCAGTGCCTATAGCTCAAGCGGCTAAGGTGCTGGCCACATATACCAGAGCTGGCGGGTTCAAATCCAGCCCAGGCCTGTCAAACAACAATGGCAACTACAACCAAAAAACAGCCAGGCATTGTGACCAGCACCTATAGTCCTAGTAACTTGGGAGGCTGAGGCAGGAGACTCGCTTGAGCCTAGGAGGTAGAGGTTGCTGTGAGCTGTGATGCCACTGCACTCTACCCAGGGCAACAGCTTGAGACTCTGTCTCAAAAAAAAAAAAAAAAAGAAGAAGAAGAAGAAGAACCACCCCCTTGAGGCAGCACTTATGGCTCAGTCGGTAGGGCTCATATACCAAGGGTGGCAGGTTCAATCCAGCCCCTGGCCAAACTGCAACAAAAAAATAGCTGGGTGCTGTGGCAGGCGCCTGTAGTCCCGGCTACTCGGGAGGCTAAGGCAAAAGAATCACCTAAGCCCAGGAGTTGGAGGTTGCTGTGAACTGTGACATCACAGCACTCTACCAAGGGTGATAAAGTGAGACTTTGTCTCTACAAAAAAAAAAAAAAAACCACACCCATAGTATTTGTAATAAATCTTGGAGGATTCTCTGACCTCTATAAAAGCAAGGAAGGGACAGAAGACATCAACTGCAGTCCCATCCTCACATGGAGAAGCACCTGCCTGCTGTGCCACCAGAGAGTAAGACGCCTGGGGCTGGTGTATGCTGTCACCTAACAGGGCAACTGGTGCTGGCACAGCCCCCGAGGTACACTCACAGAGCCCCAGGTAAGAGTGCCTAATGTGGCCCAGAAACCAGGGCAGGCTATGGGTTCTCACCATCAGCTCACCTTTGGGTGCTATGCCAAGTGGCCTATTGGGAAGGCAGTAAAAATAGTGACATTCTCACAATCATTAGCAGCTTCCCCAGTCAACGTGAACCAGAAATCTCTTAATCCAGTGCCCCTGCACTGCCAAGCCACCAGCACGCTGGTGTGAATGCTAGCATACTGCATGCAGAGAAAATCAAAGCCGCACGTTCAAACTCGTTTTCTGATCTTGCTAAAACACATGCCCAAGGGCAGAGCCTACATCCCAGCAGAGAATGCTGCATCACCCAGGACTGCACCATGTCCGGCCTAAAAGGGCTATGGCTCTTGAGAAAGGGTGCTCTCAGCAAGAAACCCCAACAATGAGCACTACTCCCCCGGCCTCCCCTCTCTACGGAGCAGAATGCTTAAGAAAGACACGAGAACCACTTGACTCGGTTCAGGTCACTCAGACTCCCTGAAGCTGCTGCCGCCAGCCACTAAGTCAATTTGCTGCCCTCAGTAAAATGGAGCACTTTGACAGCTGACAGAGCAGTCTGTCCCTAACCACCACCCTGCTCCAGACCAGAAGGTTCAGGGAGGGAATCCCAGCACCTACTCAAGAGTCTGCTCCAAGAACCTTGTCCCACCCCACGTACTGGGTAAGGAGTGAGGGCCAGGTAATAAGAAACTGCCAGACCACAGGGCCAACCTAGGCTACACCCCCACACCCT